TATCTATCTATCTATCTATCTATCTATCTATCTATCTATCTATCTATCTATCTATCTATCTCTACTTGATAATATGTAATGTCATACACATGCAATCTGATCTTTGACAGCTCTTTTTTTTAAGTTTTTAAGAAATGTATGATACTAATGTGGCCTTTTCAAATGGCCAGGGATGTTCAGCAAAAGATTCTCATATTTATATAGTTTTGAGGTTTCAAGGTAATGTGAAAAGAATGTAGACGTTAAGAGTAACAGAGGAACACTTAAGCACTTTTGCAATCCATATTTCTCCAGACTGATAACCAAACATTGTGCTTTGCATTAATACTGTATTAGGCTGGTCAGTGCTGAATACATCTGAAACAACTGACAAAATAATAAATTTATAGAGAAAGAACAGTAGCATGTGATTGGGGCACTTAAATCTTCCCAAACTGATTTTCCCATGTTTTCCCATGTTTTCCTATAACCATGCAGTACAACAAACAATACTGCTTATAAGGCTAAAATGCGTATTAGTATTAATTGCTAATCAAGATATGAATGCACTATCTATGCATAGAATCTTTGTTTCTAAGGCTAAGGAAAGACACCACAATATCCATTAATGATGGTATTGAATTACATTGAGAAGTCTAAAAAAAAACAAGAGGAGTATGCTCCCCCATCTGGTCCTGAGAAAGATTATCTACAAAAGCTATGAATGCTATTTTTATCCCCTCAATGGGCCCAAATTCAGATTGGAAAGAATCCAGATAATCTCTAGAATTTTTAGTAGCTGATTCCCTAGCACATTCTCAACAAACTCATAAAAGTGGAAAGTTGCAGACTGGGTAAAAATGATAATAAACCACCATTTCAGGAAGAACTTCTATAAGAAAGACTGCCCCTCCTGATCTCAGGCAACAACAACAGATATTTGAGAATGGAATAATTGATTCCTAGAGATCTACAAATACATAATGTATTAGATTCTCTATCTTGCACGAGGCTTCAGTCTAGGAAACCAATTTGGGATAACATACCACAGTCTTATGATCTAGATGAAGAATAGCAATCAAACAGGTGACCCTTAATAACCACAACCAAAAAGATCATGTAGATCCAACAAAAATGCTTCCAGGAATATATTTGCCCCTCAAAATATGGAACCACCTGAATAGAATCAGAACAGGCCATGCCAGAACTAGGACAAAGCTCTTTAAGTGGGGAATGGCCACAATGTGACTGTGATGCACCGGAACAAACAACAACACATATAGTTTGAGAATGTCTCCTCAGGAAATTTCCAGGCACCTGGGATGATTTCATTGCAGCCACACCAGAAGCAGTTAGAAGGGTAGCTTCCTTAGATATTGAATTATAGCATCTATCCTGATTCTATGGTGTTATATTATGGTGATTTTATCATGGCTTTACCTAATTCAAAATTTTATCTTATCTATTGTCCACATACTTTACACAGATGTATTTGCTGATTCTTCATTTAAACATATTTGTGTTTGTACATATAATGTGTTTTATTGGTGTTGTATATCAGTGATTACATGATCTCTGTAGATGCCATGTGCTAAACAAATAAACAAAACATTCAAAATTTTATTTTAGGAGTTCAACAGGAATCAGATGCCCTCTGATAGCTTTATCATTTTGCAAAGTTGGGAAATCTCTGAAGTGATGATGGGGAGAGGATCAGAAATTACAACTCACAGATCTAATTTATTCGCTTTTATATTATATAGCTCACAAAAGTGCCAGTCTTATTTTTCAGGCAGATCAGAAGTCCCTGCTGGAACTAGATTTTTTGAACTGAGATGACAATAAGATACCAAAAGGCAGCAGAGTTTTTCTACCTTAGCCTGCTTTTCTCATTTTTTTATTCCAGCTTATCATTTTCTGTATCAATTTCTTCTTTTTTAGAAGAGTCTTATCTATTTTTTCCAGGGCCAAACCAGCCTCAGAGTGAAGGTTGCTGTTAAAGGTGATGAACCCACATACATTGCTAATTTAGCCTTAGTTATAACACATTATTTACTAGCTAAAGCTTGAATTTTGGAATGAGTTTTTAACTGGGAGTAATATTAGATTTTACATGTTTCTGAGTACAATTGATAATTTGTTGATAAATACCTAGAGCTTCATAAATATTCTTCATAACTCTCAAAGATAATTTAAAATGGGATCCGTTGGAGATATTAAAAAGCTGCGGGGCTGTTCCCAAAGGCTTGCTAGTTCACTTAATTTGGGAATTCAGCACTCAAGCAGTCTCCTTTATTTAAGCCTGTGGTCCTGTCTGCATACTAAATGTCAACATCAAAAAGTGGAAAATGATTACATCAGAATAGAGAACTATCCTTTCATTGGGAGGCAAATTTAAGGATATTACTATGTAATCAATCATACTGGTACCCACACATCTCCAAAAAGATAACCCAGAAGCTACAGTTTGCATGACTTGCATATTTATGAGCATGTCTTATTATGTTTGGATGATCTCACTACTATGAGAGTTGTAATGGTTACCAGTTGGCTTCTGG